TTACATTATTTTAATGAAGTTTTAATAGAGTCTCAGATTGCAAGTGTACCATGCATTCAAAAGGATCAAGTTTAAAACTACTGTTTTCCTACTGAGGATAATTTATAATCTCCATTAAGATCTGATGTAATTTTCTTTATAAGATTTTATTTTCTTCATATAGATCTTATATCATTCTGATGCTTGCAAATACATGTGTATACTTACTAATATGTCTAAAGAATTATTTTCATTTCAATTTTTGTTTCAAATTTTAAAACTGTAGGTTCTATATATCTGTGATGGTTAATTTTGAATGTCAACTCTATCCTAGGAGATTGATAAATCACACTTCTGGGTATGTCTGGGTGAATCATGATGTGTGGCCTCAGAGACTACATTTGGTCCTTGATCTCTTCCTGTTAGGCTCTTCCCCTGCTCTCTTTTTCTAGAATGTCATGAGTTGAATTTTCTTCTGCCATGTCCTTCCTCCAAGATGTTTCTGCCTTGAAAGCAGCCAACTGTGGACTGAATCTTAAAGCCCAATATAAACGATTCCCTTATTTAAATTTTATATGTCAGGTATTTTGTCCTAGCAATGAAAGACTGGTTAATACAGAGAATTGGAACCAGGAGTGGGGTACTGTGACTATACCTGATTGGTTGGGTCAGACCCTTTGGAATTGATTTATAGAAAGAATTTGTAAAAGTTCAGAGAAGATGGCTAGAGAAAACCTAAAATACTATAAGCAGCACCTGATGGGGAATTCTATTCAGGGGTTATAATACCAAAATGGTGATAGGAACATGAAAAGTAAAGGCCAGGCTCATGATATTTCAGATAGGAACAAAGACTCTACTGGCAATTGGATCAAAGGCTATTTATGTTACATTCTGGCAAATAATTCATCTACATTTTGTCCATTCCCATCCACTTTTGTGAGACCAAGTTTAAAGACAACAAACATTGATCTGGTAGAGAAATTTTCAAGGCAGCTCAATGTTCAGGTTGTAGCATGAGTACCATTAGCTGCTTTTAGCCAGATTTGTAGTGAGACTTGTGAGCAAAAAGCAGAATAGAAAGATTTTTAAAACTTCCAGTTTGGCCAGAAAAGAAGCATGTGTAAAGTTGGGGCCAAATGTATAATTGTTGTAAAGATTATTACCATTAAAAGAAAAGCAAATACTTTGAACTGGGACAAGAAAAAAAGATGCCTTGAGAGCATCCCAGGAATCAAAAAGACCCCACCCATTTCAGTCTTAAAGGTACAAAAATGTCAACCTTTAATTTGAGAAGAGAGGTCCTGGGCCCACTGCTTGAGAAGGACCACCTAGAAAATTGGTTCTGTAGGATTCATTTCACTATCTTCAACCACCAAGGCCATCAGATACCATTGCAGCCATAGTCCAAAGGGATATGACTACTGCTCAAGCTGGTAGCAGACCTTGGGTCATCCACATGAGGTTGGTTTTATAGGCCTACAGAGTGTAAAAATTATGTGGTCATGGAGGCTTGTTGTAGTCAGGGTTTGAAAGAGAATAGACATAATACAGGACACATAATTTATGGGATTATTTTATAATATTCACCCAAAAAGCCAAATGCAGAGGAGTTCAAGAGATCTGTCTGTATACTACAGACTTGAAAAATCCAGCTGAGAACCTGAATCCCACAGCAATGTCCCACATAAGTCCACCAAAGGCCTGGAGTCCATGACAGTGTCTTCCAGCTGGAGGCCTAGAGCCCACAGCAATGTCTCATGAAAATCTGTATCAAGGATCTGCACTGGGAAGGCCCAAAGGCTAGTGGTGGGAGCTAGAAAGTCTGCACTGGTGGGCGGAAGGATCTATTTCTGTCATAAGGCTGAGGGATCTGCACTGGAGCCAGAAAGCAATGCTCAAGGCAAAGACCAGAGCTCCCCCAAAAGGAACAGAAGAGAACAGCAGCCATCCCCAATGACAGCAAGGATCTGAGCACCTCTGACATCAAGGACGGCCAAGTTTTTAACAGGAAAACTTCAGCAATCTTCTCCAGGAAATTCTAAGCATACCCCATTATCCCCTCTAGTTCTCCTTTTATGCCATTGGCAAAAATCTATTAATTAATCTGCCACAAAGCTTCTACCCAGATTCCTAAGGGAAACCTGAGAGGCCAGGCAAAATAATGTAACTGGGTTGTAAGAGTCCCTGCCAGAAGACCCTGAGAAGGCAGTGAATTAAATTGTAAGAGGGAACTAAAGCTGCAATGGACTCCCAGAAGTTGGAGATGTCAGAAACATAGAATATCTTTCAAGGGAAGGTAAAAGTGGCATGTACAGCCAACCCAAGTGAAAGGCCATGAGGGCTGCAACCAGCTAGGGTTGAGGTGTGGCTTCCTAATCCATTTGGAGCTCACAACACATCATCTTGTGCCCAGAATGCTGGATATGGAGCTACAGGACTGAATGTTTTCTGGAGTTTGACCTTTGATCTTATTTCTTTCTATTTCCCTACTCTTCCCTTTTGAGATTAGACTGTTTACCCTGTCCCATTTTATCTTGGGATTGTATCACTTGTTTGTTTGTTTTTTTTTTTAAATAGGGCCTCACAGTTCTCTCAAGTCTCAGAGGAAACTTGAGTTTGGACTTCTAGCAGTACTCTAACTCAGTGGTGACAAACCTAAGGCGTACATGCCCCAGTAGGCTGTTCATTATCATTGAAAGCTCTAAAAGGTTCACCATCACTGCTGTAATTGTTGAATTGTTCCAGAAGAAATTAGTGTATTTTGGGTTATACACAGCATAGTTAACTCATGTTAATTATATATACACATCATGTTAAGTAAAGTATGACCTTGTACTTATTTGGAGATTAAATGTGGTTTTAAGAAATGTAGTTAGTTGTCAAGTTGACAAGGGGTAGAATATATTATATTAGATGTATATATAAAGATATATGATATAAGGTGTAGAATATGATGATGTAATTATAATATTGTATATTTCTAATTATATATTCTAATATAATTAGATGTGAAGCCACATTGCTCAAGCTTTCCATACTTGAAAGGCACCATTTAACTTCTTTTTCTGGTCCACTCCACATTATAGGTTTATTTATATAATTTGAAATTTTACCTGCATCTTTCTTTCTTTAGTCCCTCCCTTTTTCTCTCCTTCCTTCCTTCCTTCTTATACTGGATAATTGCCTCAAATGTCTATTGACCAGTGGTTATCTATTCCTACTTAAGAGAATGCTCTGGAAATCAATCAGTGTCATTCACCAAATTAAATTAAGGAAAAGCATAGAAATATTTCAGTAGCTGCATTTGATAATAGTCAATATCAGTTCATGATGAAACTTTCAGCAAACTAGGAACAGTTAAGATTTTCCTCTGCCTGATTTCAAAACAGACCAGATATTTACATAAATAATCATGTGCTGCTTAGCAAGAGGGATGTGTTCTAAGAAAGTTGCCTTTGGATAATGTTGTGTGTGAAAACTATAGAGTGTGCTATACTTACTCAACTAATAGGAGTCTGATAGTAACTTGGTGATGTAATTTACAGATCATTATATGTTCAGCCTGTCATTGATGGAAATATCTTTATATGCTGTGTGATGGGATGCGTATGTCTGCATGTGCATATGCCTAGCGAATGCTTTATTCCCTATGATTGAAAACAAGGCAAGTAAGCCTATCCTTCGCATTTGTATAATACTTCCCATTGTATTTCAATACCTAATGAGCACAGTAAGATAAGAAAAAGCAGTAACTGTTGGGGAAAAAGTAAAACAGTCTTTATTTGCCAATGATGTGACTATTTTTTATAAAACCAAACAAAAATCTATAAATACTGTAGTGAATTTAGATCATACATCACTACTTTTAACTATTGCTAATAATAGCAAGCAATTTAAATTTAGTATTATCAGAAGTATCACTGCTGGGGATTTAGCTCAGTGGTTCCGGCACCTGCCTTGCAAGGACAAGGATCTGAGTTCAATCCCTGATACCAAAAAAACAAAAAAAAGTAGCACCAAAAACAATAAAATAACTAGCAATAAGTTTTTAAAAAGATATATGTGACCACTATGAAAACTGAAAAGAAAATAAACAGACAGAGATATATAATGTTAGCAGACTGGAAGCTCAATACTGATGTCACTTTTCACAGAATTTGTCTGTATGTTCAGTGCAAACCCAATACATATCTAGAAGGCTTTTCTTGTAGACACTGACTAACTGATTCTAAAGATATGCAAAAAAAAAACTAGTGACAAGGAAAAGCTAAGAGAATTCTTCCTAAGTAACTTCAAGACTTTCTTTAAGCTGTGGTACTCAACCCAAAGTGATATTGGCATAAGAAGAGACAAGTATATCAGTGGTATGGAATGGAAAGTAAAAAAAAAAAAAAAAAAAA